GTAGAAGGGGGTTAGTAGAAAATTTGCAACTTTCCACAAGCCCCAAGTTAGTTTTTGTCCTAAATGAACAGTCAAGTGCGGGAAAACTGGCTTGTTATGCGACATTAAGTTGCGGCAATAATTCAGTTCAGCGTTGGCGACGAACAGTGAGAGAAAGAAAGCAAAAAAAAATTAAATATTACACGATTTGTGAAACCGAAGAAAAGAGCCTCGAAGAAAAGTTACAGCTTAAATTCGCTTGTTGGTTATATATTTTATTTTTGCTCTTTTATTACTTTCATTTTTAATGCGATGAGTTAATGGTTTTAACACTCCATCCGGTCTAAACTATGTACGTAAATCCCGTGAGTTTCTGAAGTGAACGTCTTTAAACATTATTAATTGCGGATGCGCCAGGCTTTACTCCTTGTTTTTTATTATTATTATCCTTCGACCCTCGAGAACCTGCATATATCTATCTATATATATATTTAGTGAGAAAGAGGGATGATATTTATATATCAGATAGAAAAAGTTTTGCAGATTTCGGTTGGGGATGAAAACCCGAAGGGTTAGATAAAATGTTTACGGCGATGACAGTTAATAAACGCGTCGAGAATAATTCATCATTCCTGCAACGTCCTTGTTGCTTTTTCCTTTTCGTCGGTCGTGAGATTCGGCCAGGATGTTTGTCCTTTTTTTTTCATCCCTCTTCCTTTCATTTACTTTTTTTTCCTCTCTCTCTCTCTTGCGACCACCCCCATTCGCAATTGTCCTGGAATAATTTGCATACGTGGGGGCGGTTCAAGTGCTCCGATGACGATGTGACAGTTAATAAACGTCCGGACGGGATAATTCATCATTCCGCGGCGGGAACGGAACTCCCGCAGGATTAACGAATTATCTTTTCCGTGTTTCGCTTTAATTAGCCGCTTTGCAAATCAGAAATCTTGAAGCGAAATAATTAAACAAAAAACAAAAAAGAAAGTAATAATACCAGAGTGGAAAAAAAAAACAATAAATAAAGCATAACGTGCATAAATATCCTTCAATGAAATCCCATATAAAATCCTCGTTCGAAAGCGATGAATGAATATTAAATAGGACCAACCCCGCCGATTCCCTTTCACATTTTCCATTTCCTCTCTCACTCATACACACCCTTACGCCCTTTCACAAACCGTTTTTTTTTATTCCGCTCCGGCAGCGTGCAAAAGTTTTTTTTTTTATATAATTTTTCTTTTCGTAGGTGAAAGTTGAGTGTTTTTAAATTACTCGGGCGCGAATGAAACTAAATGGCGACCATTCACATGACAATTTATCGATTCGCTTCTATCGAATTATATATAAGATTCAGTACATCATAAAACTTAACGAATAACGACTGTTTTATTATAAGGGTGTTTTTAACTTTCACGACTAGTTCAACATAATTGACAAATAAACTTAAAACAAAATTATATAACAATAAAGTGTAGATACATATAAACCACAGTATTATAATTTTACTAGACAAATATTCTTTTTTAAATACACAATAAATTTTACTGTTATAATTTGTACAGAGCTATTGCAGAAATGATTATAAAAGAAATAAATGGACTTAAGAAGAAATGAAATAAAAATAAAAAGGAGTTACATAATATGCAAAGCAGGGTCGGCGGCGGTGGCTTACAGGGGTTTTAAGATAATGGTAGCTAATAAAAATGGACAGCGGCGATTAAACAATTAGATCAGAACGGCCGGAATCATAATTGCGATTTCGAGTCGCGTGGGGGGCGGCAGATAGAGCGCCCCCATTAGGACGCGGACCTCGTGCGCATTCCTCGCGCCCCGTGCAGCTGAAATTTAATTGCGCTAAAGGTTATTTATGTTAATTAAAGTACATCCATACAACGGTGTGATTCCGGAAACAAATGGAAGCTTTAAGGAATTGAACGAAAGTTGCGTAATTAGCAACTTTTCTTTTTTTTTGCTCGTCCTGTTGCGCTATAATATGTAAAAAAAATATAGTAACAGACAAACTTAAAAGAAATAATTTATTACAAATTGTAATGAAAATTATTGGAATATTTTAAGTTAATGATAACAAAAATTCAATGTAAATGTAACTATAATCATTTTGTATTAGAAGGATGAAAAGTTCAAAATCAAGAAAAAAAAATGTGTGTATGAGAATAGTAGCAATATCGAAAGAGGATTTAAATAAGGCTACTGTTGTAATTGATGATAAAACTTTTGACATGATTTACTGCATAATCAATCAATCAGTCAAGTCTGCTATAGATATAAAAGTTGAATGTGCCAATGTCAGTATTTCTATCAATATTGATAGACGTCGGTTCAAAAAAAAAGTTATTTTATTAGAAATGATTATATTTGTAAATTTTAACTTTCATAGTTTTCACTACATAATAAATTAAACAATATAATTGATTTATAAATATTTTAATTAGTCTTTAATAAGATGCATGTTTTTTTTATTAATTATATATATATATAACTTGACTGTTCATTTAGGACAAAAACTAACTTGAGGCTTGTAGAAAGTTGCAAATTTTCTACTAACCCCCTTCTACCTTCCCCAGAGGAAAAGCCACCAAGATTTCAACAATTCGTAATATTTTATTCCTATTATTTTGAAAACTAATGTTAATTACATTAAAAAGTTTATTTTAGAAACTACTGAATAATATAAAACTAAGACATTTGATAAATTAAATTATTACCAGCAGTTTAATTTTATTATTAAAAATAAATGTAAAAAATTAATAGAAACAAATATTTTATT